CTGTTTATTAACAAAAAAAATCTTTTCATTAAAAATTGTTTAACAACAGCTTTAGTTATGAATACACCTGTTATTGTAAATAAATGATGAAATCTAGATCAGTCAATATATATACTGTCTTAATAAGAAAGGATATTCACCAATCAATACACAGTAAAGCCTGCAAACTGACATTCTAAATTGATTGATTTCACAATTTATATTGAAACAAAATCAAGTAAACTCAAAATAACACAGTAAACAAAATAAATGAAATAATATTAAATGTTTAACTTTAACTGGCATCTGTGATGGCATCATGAAAGTTCACGGTTATCCATGTATGGTGCTGGTAGTATTCTGATTACTTGGTTCTGGTCTATACCAAATTTATCTGTTACATCTTTGACAAAAAATATTTTGCCTACATCATCACTCTTATGCAAATGTGTTACATACAAGTCATTACATGAATCTCTGTAATTTCTGTAGTGCCACACATCTAAAGATTTTACTGTTCTTAGTCCCTGCTAAGTATTGGAATAATACAAAATCACCACATTGTGGAAGACGTTCAGCATTAGGTGGTTCAGATGACGATGAACTTGATGATGATGGAGCATCCTCATCAAGATTACGATCTCCTGACAGCACAAACTGCTTTACATCATTTGAGGTTGCATACAGTATGTTGAGTAACGCACAACATGCTTTTTGACAACTTCAGTGAAGTGGGTTGTGTGCGTGTTTGGCAAAGAGTTGACATTTGTCCATCTACCATTAAGTTTATCGTTTTTGTCACGAACTTCTTGTGCAGAGATGAACTCGACGTTGATTGAAGCAGTTCGTCTTCTTGCTCTTCGATTTGTAGACAAGGCGTTTTATTTGCCCACCAACTCCATCAACAGCTCCTTTGCCGTGGCTTGTGACAAAGAAATTCCCAGTAACGTTAATGTTGTAATCGTCCTTGAAATGTGTGATGTTTTTTAACAGATATTTCTGCTTAAAATCAGAAAAGAATGAGATGGAACTTAGTTGAGGTCAGATATTTGAGCATATAATACAGTCGTGTATTCTATGCTCCAATAATGTTGCCACTGCATACTTCCCATGATTTAAGTCATCACTAACTATTGAAAATGACTTTCCCATCACTAATGTACGCACATGCTGTGAATATTGTAACCTGTTGGTGGCTCCAATGGTTCATCCTTTGCTGCACGACCCTCCACAGTTGTCCACTGTAGCCATTCAACATCAGTATCAGGAAAGCAGTAAACATCATCAAACCTTGAATTACACATGGTACATCTCCCAAACATACAAGCTTCACCCTCCTGCTCACATACTACTGTGTCTATAAACTATCGGAAATGTGTAGGGACATCGGCAGATGTAGCTTTGTCAATACATTCAAGTAATCTAATGTTCTCATGGTATTTGCATACAGTACACCAGGCTGTGTGCGGGAATTCTTGTGGCAGGCATACATGGGCTGGTCATAGAGAACAAAATTTTGATAGCCCTACAGGATGACATGGATTTTGCTGAAGGTAGAGAGCATGGCATTCGCGCAAAGTCATTACCATAAAACGCTTTTGGATGTATTCTTTTGTGCCACCCTTCTTGACGATTGTAACATCTTTCCTGTCTGAGCTTTGCCATGATACATCGTCCAGACAGAAGTGTGCTTTAACAGCCTCACAAGTTTCAGTTGAAATCGCACAGTGACTTTCTCTTCGAACATCCTCATCATCTTCTAGACGGACATGATATTGCTCCACCAAATTTCTTATCACCTTGCTCCGTTTCCTTGGACTTTTAGGGATGGTAAAACTTACACGCTTCGTTGCTTTTCCCAAGCTCTGTGCTGATGAATAAACTGGAGTATTCGGGACTGAAATATTGTTGAGTTTTGCCCGAGATCTACGTTTTCTTTGACTTTCTTTCTCAGCTGCCCTTAGTTTTTTCAAATCAGCATATGATAGGTTCTTTCTCCTCTCCTTTGTCCGCATATTATCTTTCATTCGGTATTCATCATATTTGCCTTTCTCCTTAAGTCTTTTGCGGTATCTTCTCTGTTTCTCTGCATTAGATAACGGCATGTTGACAGCTAGAAGTTGTAAGCATGTGTGTTTAATTATTCTACATGATATTAAGTAACACGATCTTCCTCTGTGTCACTGTTCATACCTAGCCAATCATATTACTTTATTTTTCGGAAAGTTGGGTGTGATCAGTTGTGCTGTGCAAGCAATGAATAATTAAAAGGTTTATGCTGTAAACTGGATGCTTATTAAAGTTATGATAAAATCAGGTAAATTATAATAATAAAAATAATAATAATAATAATAATTTATATAGCGCCAATTTCAACTATACCGAAGTAAAAATCAAAGGCGCTTAACATTTAGATGGTAAAAAGTATATAGTGAAGATTTATTGATTGGAGAATACCTACAAGTACATAGTACAAATACTTATACCCGATTCACACGTGAAGTTAAATTTAACAAAAAGTTACAAACTGTAACCGAGCAATCTCCCGAGTTATTCCTACTGAGATAAAAAGCATTCACATGCGTCTGTAAGGTAATGTCAAGGTCGTGTAAAATTTACTCAGTGTTTATTCAATGAATCATTTTTTCCCCTACTGCGATATAGGTCTAGCCTAGGCCTAGTTGAGAACCCCTGTCACAGATGGACTGTTGAACTCACCATCACTGTAAACATTCGAAGCGATCAATGCCCTTAACAACTGCTGTAAACTACTACTGCTACTAAACTAGGCATAGCTTCCAACGTTTCTGTCGACTCTTGATAATACTAGTAATAGTACTAACACCATCCCGACGTTCATTTTATGTATATCTTCTTCTTCTACCATTACTAATTAACATCAATAACAAGGGTAATGCATTCATCATTGAGAAAAACTAGGCCTATCTATTTCTAGTGGATCAGAATCGTCTGCAGAAGGAAGAAAATTCAAAGAACCCCGAGAAACACAGTAGATTGTTGTTGTGTTGAAATCCCTGCGCATGCGCAGATCCATCCATGCTACATCTCGGGAGCTTTACCAGACTCAGCGAGGCTGGTAAAGACTACCGAGACGTTCCGAGATTTTACAAGGATATTACACGGAGGTACTTTCACACGTGCCGTAAAATGTTACTTTTGATTACACTTTGTTACATTTGGTAAGATTTTTATACGTGTGAATCGGGTATTAGTATCTGTGGGAGTCTGGAAGAATGAAGATATAGTTTAATTGCAATTAACAACATGTGTGAAATGTTAATGATCACATGACCTTATTACTGTAATTGCATTTCAGTTCCATTATTTGTAACCTATAATTCTACCGTCATTCTGTTACCGTCGTTCTGTTACCGGTTTACTAACAGATTTACATATTTGATATGCAAATATTTGATAACCAAAAAATAATTTAAAAAAAAAATAATGCCATATGCTAGCCCTATCAAAACTTGCTCTGCATGCAAACATTCAATGTTTTCTAATGTCAAGCTTTGAAATAAAAAGAAAATTTATTGTTTTTTTGGTAACAGATGGATGGAATTATTATATAATTTTTAAAGTTTGTTTATCGATTATTTGCAATTAAAAACAAAAATTGAATGCATCTATCTTGTCATCAGAACCATTATTTTGTAAATTAAATGAGATTTTAAGTAATCATAAACTTACTTTTTGTCTGTAGTGACTTGTAATTAAACTAATTTTTGTAGAGGTATAGCATATATAGAATATTTTATTTAATCCCCAATATTTTTTTAAGTAGCAAAAAAAAAAAAAAAAAAAAAATTCTGAGCTAATATTCGGAA